ACAACTTTTTATCTTAAATCATATACCAAATCAAGCCCACAAAATATAAAAAACTTAATTTTGTAAACTTTGATCAAGAAATAACTCAAATATCAAATTTTAATATTATAAATAACCCTCACAAAATCAAATTATATTGTTTTTATATTTTTTATAATTTTAAGCTCGTGTTATATTTTGCAATTATAGATAACATATGGTTATTTAGAATTAATTTGTTGGTTATGTATTATAAATATGACAACTAGAAAATAATCATTTGAATATGAAAAATCTTTCCAAAAAAATGAGAAAATTTTAAAATAATTGAATCTTAAAATGATCTCTTTATTCCTACTACTAAACAAAACCTCATAGAAAAAATATGTTAAAGTCTCACAAATAAACAATTAATAGATTCCAAAAAATAAGAAATAATCAAATAATATAGCAAAATAATAATAAAAAATATTCATCATAAGAGTTAACACATGCAAAACAACATTCATGGATGTAAAATATATATAAAAAAAAAATTAGTAACAAAAATTTTAAAATTAACAAAATTTTACTTGAGGTTGCTCTTATCACAAGAAAAAAAATAGGGGAATTAGCAATACAGACAATTGAAAAAAGACCTTATTTACAAATGTCGATTTAAGCCTCAGGTATTCTTGAGCCGCCCCTGCATGCAGGGGATTGTCTTCTATTTGTCCGTCCCTAAGTTGGATATATACTATTTGAATAATCTTATTTAAACTTAAAAATTTGATTTAATTTGTTAACATAATGATGTGGTTTTAATTGAACCATTAGATCATCATCAAGTTCTAATATTTAATGGAACTCACAATCAATTCAAAGGTTACAGTGAATTAAGTCAATAAATTATGTCAAATTTTTAAGTTCCAATAAGATTGCTCGAATTATTTTTCCCTCTATATGTTGCCAGAAGTCATTCTGAGAGAGAGAGAGAGAGTTTCACCGCGGCCAGCTAAATCCAGATATGTTTTCCATCAAATCCTAATAAATGGACTACTGTCTCACAGATTGTCCCATTGCGTGGCAAAAAAACAGGTGAAAAGATATTAAATTGGAGTTGTGTTGGACTAGTGGGAGACCATTACACCTTGGTCTGGAAAATAACATGTCCGAAAAAGCATTCAAATAAGTGCAGGCTTCCATTTTTTGACACCATATGTATTTTCTTCAATAAATAAGTGTGTGATACATGTGACCATAATTTTCAAAACAATTTAGAACATTTGAAATGACATTGTTTGTGACTATTCACCTTGTTAAGATTATTTAGTCTTGAAATTAAAATATCAATTGGGAGTCGCAGTCCAAGGTGTGATTAGTAAATGTTGGCATTTCCCTTGATTAGGTCCATTAATAAGCACTAGCCCC